TGATACAAAAGGATCATCAAACGGAATCATCGTTGGCGTTCGTAGGATCATGAACAAGCTCTATTCGAGATAGGTAGTCATAGTGTCTTGGTAGAGACCGCCTATGACTTGTGTAACCGAAATAAGAGATTCCGTGTTATACTGCTATATCGGATGAGCCTACAGGGTCACACACACAGGAAAGGACGAATGCGCGAGAAGAGACGAGAAAATTCCGGTGGAGCGGAGGCCAGACCGAGCGGTCCGGAAGGTCTGGACCGATCGGTCCAGCTAACCCAGACCGATCGGTCTAGACGTAGACCGGTCGGTCCAGAGGTAACATGTGAGGTCCAGAAATTGTTCCAGACCGATCGGTCCAGACGTTAAAAAGCTCCAGACCAATTGGTCCAGGTATGGACCGATCGGTCCAGACGTCGGGATTTACTAAACTCGCTCTAATTAGGGTTTTAATGGGGGAAAAACTTAGGGAAACGCCACCCAACTCTTTTGGCACGAATTTCAGACCCTAGGGAGAGGTTTGGAGAGTGAAAAACCTAAGAGAAAGATCCCTGAATCCTTTGCGCAAAGAAGAAAGCGTTCTGCAGTCCTAGCAGACAAGTTCCAACCGTTGGAATCCTTTCCGCCGTGTGGATACGTGTAGAGGGCAAGGTATTCTTCCTGCCTACAGTGATCAGACGTGTTCTTCGATTGATACAGGCCCCGGATCGATTGAGGTAAGCGTTCTAACGTTTCTACAAGATCATGCATGATAGGTTCTAGGATTTCATTAAAATTTTGTTTTACATCCGCTGCGCAAACCCTAGAATCGATCTCTTAGGAATTAGATTCGCTCATGAGATCCCAGGAAAACCCAGCAGTAGAAAACGCCCATCAGATCACTGATCTGGATGCATCACGAGATGAGTATATGCATGAAGATGTCAACTACATCGCCAACAATCCGTACTCGAACACATACAATCCAGGTTGGAGGAATCACCCAAATTTCTCATACAAGAACTCCTCCAATGCTCTAAATGCTCAGCAAAGCAATTTCGACAGTTCCACTATCCCTGGCTCCTCTCAAGGGAATCAATCGCAACCCCGGAATGCCTACCCAAATCAGAACCAAGCCCCTCAACACTACCGAGCACACCGTCAGCCTCAACAAAATTTCGGTCTACCTCCATCTCAATCACCGGTATGTCCTGACCCGACATCAAGTCTATGCTTGCACAACTTATGCAGGGTCGGGAAGCCATCCGCACCGAGATGCGAGAACATTAGCAGAAGACCGACGCCTAGGACTGGGCATCCAGATCGGGTTAATCGGGTTCGGGTAAATCCGAACCGATTAATCGGGTTTCGGATCGGTTCGGGTTTTGCTTAAATAACCGATTGGGTAGTATCTCCCTATAACCGATCGGATTGGTTCGGTTCAGGTAAATAACCGATCGGGTTCGGTTATCCAATTAAACCGAAATTAAAACTTAAAAAATTATGATAATTAATTAGGGTTAATCGTTTTGCATCTGTTCTCTTCTCTCCTTCGACTCATCTCTTCTGAAGCCTCCCTGTGTCAAGTTTCTGCCTGGTCTGCTCTACCGAGCTCCGGCCAGATCCGCCCAGCTTCGGCCAGATCTGCCCAGCTCCGGTCAACTCCGCCCATATCTTGCGCTGCCAAACCAACCCTCTAATTTTTTGTTTTCCCTGTCTGTTCAAACCCGAGGGCGGAGATTATCCATCGACGTCGAGTTCTGGGATTCTCCTCTTTGTCGAGCTCTGGGCTTCTCTCCATCGAGATTTACTGAGTGGACTTGAGCTTCGTGTTATTTGATTTTCTCGCACTTTTCCAGGAATCTCGAGTGTGTTCAGTGTTGGGCGAGTGTTTGGAGGAAGGGAAGAGGAGGGATTCTGTGTGCACATGCCCATAGAAGTATTGGAAGTGATGATGCCACGTCATGAGCTTGCATCATCTGATCATCTCAATTTACTTTGTGAAAGGTTTTTAATTCTAAAATCATAATATTTTTGGGTATATAAATATAATATATAAACTTGTCCATCTTAGCGGCACATGTATAAATTTCAATGGAATTATACGTAGAATCATTTTTTTTCTTTTTTGTCTTTTTTTTTTATGTGGAATGTTTTTTCCCGTTTTTTTGGTGAATATTTTTTTAAAAAAAAATCATAACGAATCAAATAAATAAGGTGACTTGGTACAAGGTTACTTGTGTGTCATTTAGAAAGAAGTTCACCAAGATGATTCTTTTATATTCATTCTAATTTTGTTCATTGGAATATTTTTCTTATTTTGTTATTAGTTTTTCATTTTCAAAATTTATAATATGGAGCTTTTGTACGAGAAGATTGTTGGAATGTTCTATGTTTGATTTTTATTTTTGATAGGAGACTATTAATATGAGATTGATTTTGGTTCAAATGGTATTTATGAATTTTGTTTTTTTTATTTTTCTTTAAGACAATACATGAATTTTTTTTATCGAATATTTGTTTGGATAACCCGAACCGAACCCGAAAAAATCCGAACCGAACCCGAACCGAACCGATTAAAATTATATATCCGATTGGATATGAATATTCTAAATCCGTACAACACGAACCCGAAATAATCGAATTCGAATAACCCGATCTGATCCGATCGCTCACCCCTACCGACGCCCATCTCAAGCTGGTTAATAACCAGATAGCGCAACTTGCTGCCTCTGTCTCTTCGCCACCTCAAGGAGCACTTCCCGAGAACCCGGAAGCAAACCCCCGAGAGCACTGTAACGTTGTATCCTTGCGCAGTGGCAAAGAGCTCGTCAACCCTATCTGAGCATCACGCGCCTCTTTCTCCGGCAAAAGTCTTTTACACATAAATTCCGTCGCCAATCACCGGCGAACGAACCACAGAAGAAGATTTTTTTTTTTCTAAAAAGCAACCTAAAACTCGGCGGAGGTAGAGACTGAGCACCACGCGCCTCCTCCACCGCCAAAATCGTTGCGTCATCAAACGTGAATCCCTGCACCGCAGCCGAATCAGACGGTGCAGCCGCAAAAGAGGAAGAAAAAGCAGAGCATCGATATCAACGCCACGGACTCGAACGCTGTCACCACTCTCCATACTACATCGTCCACCACCATCGATAGGTAACTAAGCTCAGGCCTCCTCCACGTCAGCCAACGCCACCGCCCGTACCCCGTCGAGCTCCATCCGTTGCCGGAAAACCATCTAGATCGGGAGGCTGACAAGGACCAATGCTCCGACATCGGAATCTCTTATCCTCCCGATTGGCGTCTTGGATCTATTGCTTCGAAAGTGTCTGTGTATCTGCAGATTTATATTCTGTTTCGGTGGTGTGGTGAATGATCTTAGTGTGATGCAGAAAAGCAAGCTTTTAATGGCGGAAATGATGGCGGTAGAGAGCAATGATTTCATACATGCGTTTCTTCTATAAGAACGCTGCCTTAACCACCGTTGATTTTGTAGAGTATTTAAATTCAACGGTTCAGATCAATTTTACGTGCTGCGATTTGAATCTGTTCGCATATCTGCCTTTTGGTGGGAGAAACTTTTTCAAATCTTTTCCTTGAAATTTGAAGAAATATTCCCTCCATCATTATTTCGTTAATTTATATTTTCGAAATAATTAAATTTTTTTTAAACATCACTATCACTCGCCGTAAGCATAAACTATATATAAATATACCGGCACTAATTTTATCTCCTCCCTCAGTTCGGCGATTCTGCCAGCATGATCAAGCTCTCCCATGTTTCATCGTCCCTGAGATCATCTCTCTCGCCCAAACCCATCTTCAAACTAACCCTAAACGTCGAGATTTTGGAGACCCATCTGCAGAAATGTCGGATTCTCAAGCACTTCGACCAAATCCTGTCTCAGATGGTCCTCACCGGTCTCCTCAAGGACACATACGCAGCAAGCATACTTCTCAAATTCTCGGTTGATTCATACTTCGTCCATGTCGATCACTCTCGTAGAATCTTCCGTAGCATTGAGAACTCGAATGCGTTTATCTGGAATACAATGATGAGAGCTTACGTCCAACGAAATTTCCCTTGTAAAGCTCTTCGCTTGTACAAATGGATGCTGTGTAACCGCGTTTGCACCGATAACCGTACCTTCCCTATTATTGTACAAGCGTCGGCCTTGCGGTTATCGGAATTCGAAGGGAAACAGCTGCATGATCATGTTTTGAAGGTGGGTTTCGATTCTGACGTCTATGTACAGAATACATTGGTGAATATGTATTCTGTATGCGGGAATATGAAGGACGCACGCAAGCTATTCGATGAAAGTCCTGTGTTGGATTCAGTTTCATGGAATTCCATTCTCGCTGGTTATGTTCGGTCGGGGAACGTAGGCGAGGCCATTTCTATCTATGAGAAGATGACAGAGAAGAACGTCATTGCCTCGAATTCCATGATAAAATTGTTCTGTGAGAAAGGATTGGTCGCTGAGGCTCGTAAGGTGTTCGATGAAATGCCCATGAGAGATTTGGTTTCATGGAGTGCGTTGGTTTCATGTTATGAGAAAAATCTGATGTATAAGGATGCGGTGGCTACATTTATCAGCATGAATAGCTATGGAGTTACGCCAGATGAGGTTACAATGATCAGTGTTCTCTCTGCTTGTGCCAACTTGTCAGAGGTTTGGTTGGGGGGTTCATTGCATGCTTTTATTTTGAAGACTGGCACTGAATCTTTTGTTAACCTTCAAAATGCGTTAATCAAAATGTATACGAGCTGTGGAGGTATAAAGGCTGCTGAAAAGCTGTTCAGTTCGAGCCATTGTCTGGATCAGTTTTCCTGGAACTCTATGATTTCAGGGTATATGAAGTGTGGATTGGTCGACAAGGCTGAGGAGTTATTTGATATGATGCCCAACAAAGATGTTGTCTCGTGGAGTGCAATGATCTCAGGTTATGTACAAAATGATTGGTTTTACAAGGCATTAGAGATGTTTCAGGAGTTGCAGCTTAGAGGAATCAAACCTGATGAGACCATTTTGGTAACCGTGATCACTGCTTGCACACGAATGAATGCCCTTGAACATGGAGAACGGTTACACTCATACATAAAAGAGAATGACCTTCATATAAACCCCATTCTTGGAACAGCCCTCATTAACATGTATATGGAATGTGGTTGTCCTGAAACTGCACTGGATATTTTTTGTGGAATACATAATAAAGGAGTTTCTACATGGAATGCATTGATTGATGGCTTGGCTATGCACGGCCTTGTGGGAAAGTCACTTCTTATTTTCTCTGAGATGAAACACTCTGAAGTAAAGCCAAATGAAATCACATTCCTGAATGTCCTTAGTGCGTGTAGGCATGCGGGCTTAGTTGACGAGGGTCGGTGCCATTTTAGTTCCATGGTCAATGAGTACGAGATAGAACCAAACGTAAAGCATTATGGATGTATGATTGATCTTCTAGGACGTGCTGGCTTACTTAGAGAAGCCGAAGAGATTATTGAGACTATGCCTGTGGCGCCTGATGTGGCCACATGGGGTGCTCTGCTTGGAGCTTATGTGAAACACGGTAACTCTGAGTTGGGCGAGAGACTTGGAAGAAAGCTTGTTGAGCGTTATCCAGACCATGATGGATTTTGTGTGTTACTTTCTCATATATATGCTTCAAAAGGTGATTGGGGTGCTGTGCTTGAGATTAGAGGGGCGATGTCTGGTAACAGTGTTCAAAAGATCCCTGGCTTGAGCGTGGTCTGTAAGGAAACTAATAGATTTCCACGTCCAATAACAGATGTGCAATGAATGGTGTTAGATGGTTTTGCAGGTGGGTTTTGTTTTTTGTTTTTTTGTAGGAAAGAAGTACAAAAACACTGATTTCTCCATTGAGTACCATATACACAGATGAGTTGTGTTGACAAATTTGGTTGACCTGCACAACATTTGCTCGACAGGAACTTTTATCCTAAGTTATCTATGTACAAAGGAACGCTCTTAAACAAGAATCTGAGACTTTGCAGCGACTCGAGAACACTTCTTCCTGCCGGATTTGGTGAGAGCACAGACACATGTCTCAAGAAGCTCGAGATCTTCTTCCCAGAACAACAATGAGGCTGTTTCAGGATTCTCCAGGAGCATCTTTGATGTCAGGTAACCAGCAATCGTCCATGTCTGGTAAAGCCTGGATTGTTTCCCGATGAACTTCCCACTTCTAGTGTCATAGTATTCAGGCCATCGGTCAGCTTGGAGCCTCTTTTCAGCCAAGGTCACTGCTCTCTCTGCTAACTCTGGTCTGCCCATCTTGATGCAGGCCAATGTGAACTGAATAGATTCAGATAAGAGTGTTAATTATTGTTGTATAAGCATGCTTATGAATAACTCATTTGCGAGGAATTCATGCTCACCTGCCAAAGAAGAGTTGGCCATGATCCACTGTTGTGGTATGACCATGGCCTACAAGAAATGCAAAGAGATGAATTCCCGTTACATCAAAAGTGTCATACACTATGTAGACAAAACAATTTGAATCGATCGAAAGAGGAAGAGGCATACGTGTTCTTCGGGTCACTTCCAGTGATAACACTCCACTCTGCAAACTCCAAAGCTGGGTAACATATCTTAAGAGGCATATGCCCGATGATATCATTCCATTTCTCTTCAATCAAATTCAATATAGCTTCGTTTTGTTTCGGAGTTCCTAAAGATGAAATGATTGACCACAGATTTCCCAGCGTGAAGAACCTGAAGTCCATGTGAGCTGGCTGGAGGTTTCCAATCAGAAAGCCAGATCCAGGTTTTTCTGGAATCCAGTCCATGAGCCACGGTGAGACCTGTTCTGGGTAGATGTTGAACTTGTTGGTGGCATCCATGGAGTACTCTTCTGTTTTGTAACGGTATATCTCGTTGATTTTCTTTATGTCGAGCCAGTAGTTTTCTCTGATGTGGAACGATAACGCACTGAGCCTGTTGTTGATTGTTCTGATCAGGTTTTTTGAGCTTTCATTCGCAGTTATCATCTCACGAGAGCACCGAAGAGCTGAGTAGAACAAAGCCTGTGTCCAAGGAACCATCATCACATGTAAGGTAACACAAAACGGATCTCAAATCAACAGACCAATCCACAAGATATGTTCTCATGTGAAGGATAGCTTTTTAATCCAAATGTCACTACCCTGAATTAAACTGGAATTCGCTTATGGTAAGATTCGCATCAAACTCATGTTCACTCTTGGATGATTTATTGTGAATGTTCTTGACATATATTTTTAATTTTATTTAAAATCAGGGAAACAACGAAGGGAAAGTTACTTGGATCTCAAGAGGGTGGCCATGGATACCCATGCGGCGATCTATCATGCAGGAGCCATCAGTGACTAACAGAGTCGGGAACATATCAAAACCATCGGCTAAACACAGGTTCATTATCATCTTTATCCCCGTCTGCACGTCTATCCTCTCTTGCAGCGTGTAATCTCCCGTGATTTTTCCATACGCCCTCAACAGTATTATCCACCACAGACCTGAAAATTATCTGTTTAGACCTACTTTTGTGAATCAAATTCTGCCATAAAAGCTGTCACTCGGTTAGGTTGATGTAATACGTGCAAAGGAGTCATTTTGTGACTAGATATTGATTTACAGTTTGTATAAAGATTTACATTTTTTGTGATTTGTTGGAAGGAAAATGCAAGACAAGAAGAAGCAAGCGATACAGACCAGAATCAACGGGAGCGACCCGACCTATAGCAGATTCACCAAAATCTGGATCCAGAACCTCTTCACATTTGTCATTTTCGAGAAGTACGCTTCTGACTTTGAAACTCGCAGGCATTAATCCCTGGCCTGGGCTGTAACAATCAACCGTTTTCTCCCAACTCTGGTAAGAAAATACAACAAAGATCATTGTCTGGAAAGATATATGAGTCTCTATTCTGCGTTTGAAACATTTGTATACGTAATACTGCTGAGATTGGCATAAAAAGGGATTTACTTTTTCGTTTTCAGATCAAACAAGCGTGTTCGTACCTGCAACTGCAATGTGTGAAGGAGGAAGTTTCTCACAATCTCGGGCTCCCCCTTAAGCAAGAAAGCTAGAGCGGAAGGCACAAAGTCCCGTATAAAGACTTGATCATAGTTCAATGGCGTTGCATCGCTTGGATCTTTCGCAGCTACTGTCCCGACGGGGCAATCACAGTATGTAACAACAGCTTCCTTCAGCAATCTCCAGGCTTCTTCCTCTTTGGTTTCGCTTCTCTTCTTAACATCCTCCAACTCATCTCTATTTGCAGCTTTCTCATCGATTTTTACCCTCTCGATGGCAGGTCCCGCCTTTAGGCCGTGTTTTCCACAAATTCTCTCTAAAGTCGCGTCATTCTCACGGATTTCTGTTGAAGTTGAGAGGTTTCTTGCCCTAGAAGCAACCCGAGCTGCAACCAAGCTTCCTCTTGGATCGTTTGAGGAAAGTACAAAACTTGATTTGCTGATATTGGCGCTTGAATTCAGATTCTGGGTATTGTTTCTGCTCAAGAACTGCGAAGGGTTCGATCGAGATGCTGCGTTTGGAGTGGATTTGGATGATGAGATTCTTGTCAACGCGTAAAGAATGCATTTGGAGGGTCTCATCGTTGCGTTTCCCAGGAGAGTGACGGCGTTCATCGTCAGATTCGGTCAAGGTTTGGAGATTTGTCTTTATATGTCTGAGATTAAGGATAGAGGAGTTTCCTTTTGAGGTGGTTTTTGCTCATCTATTCGATATGTGTTTTTTCTATTAATGCATAACAATGATATTTGAGTTCAATCCAATGGATCTGAACACTTTTTGCTAATTTAGATTTTCAATTTCATTCAGTAAAAAGTTCGTGGTGCTGAATGTATTTAGCTGCCAATGGTCAAGACGCGAGACTCGAGTCAAAATCCGAAATTCGTAATACGACATCGTTTTTCTAAATGGGCCAAGATGGTGGGCCTATTTGTATCCATAGGGCATGGGAACACGTGGCGAAATTCTATTCGATCAAAGCGCGAGCTTAGGGCTTGCGGCGCTTGGTCAAACAGGACACAGGCTTCGGTTTTTGTCTCTGTGTGAAGCTGGAGGTTCGGGTGGTCCGAGCCGAGAACCCTCTTGTTTCTTCTGTCAACAGCCTTAGTATAATAATGATAGAAACTATGAAATGATCTTACGCTACTCTGCCATAATCTCATACTCGTTTTGCTGTCCTTCATCCTGGTGTTCTTGATTTGCTTTTTTGTGTGCGGAAGAACATATCGAGGTAACCTTTTTTTTTTTTTAAGTTGTGGGTTTGAAGTTTCCGAGGAATCTGGAGGGAAAGTTCTGATTTTTCTGCAATTTGATTTTTGAAATTCTCTTTCTCTCTCCCTCTTTTGCCACTGTAAGTTCCATTATGTGTTTTTTTCCTCGATTTTAAACTTTGATGGAGTTTTAATTCAAGATCTACAGTGAGTGAATTGATCAAGCAGTCATTTTTCTCTCTCCTGGAGTGTCTCTCTCTCTCTCCCGACAAATAAGACGATTCATTTGTTTGATTTGATTTCATCGACTGTCCCCTTTACGTGTTTCTCCCCCCCCCTCTCTCTCTCTCTGCAGTGTGGGGATGGATATGAAAATTTACGAGTTCTTGCCATAACCGGCGGGACTTACTTTTCTCGGACCAAATTTTCCCGAGAAAATTATACGAAAACCTTGAGAGCCCAGAAAATCCAGCTCCTTTTGAACTTCCGAGCCCAAGCTCCCCCAATCCGCTTTCGCACCTCTTGTAAAGTCACGATCTTTTCCTCTATCTAATGCTTTCCGTTATAACTTAAGATTTGTTCATTTATATTTCTGTATTAAATGCATAGCTGCCATTTTCACATGCACTGAAAACTTCTTCTTTTTTTTGTTGGTTTCCTGGGTTTCGTTCTTCAGATTTCTGGGATTTGATCTGTGCATGCAAGAGCCGAACAGATCAAGAGTGGCCGTTGGATGAGAGAATCATCGGACAGAGATGTCAGATTCCGACAAAACGGCGGTGGATCCACTGTTGAAGGATTTGGGTGAGAAGAAAGAGAATTTCCGGCGAAACGTGGTGTCTCTGGCGGCGGAGGTGAAGCAAGTGAAGGGCCGTTTGGTTTCTCAAGAGCAATCCTTTGTTAGAGAAACGCTATATAGAAAGGCAAGTTCTTTCCTTTTTGTGTCTATTGGATTTTGAATCATTATTTTCTGATTGATTCCTCCTTTTTTGTGTTCCTTTAGGTGTTTAGGATGGTGGGGTCATCCGTGTTTTGAATGTTGGATTTCTGATGTTTTTTTTTTTGTAATTTAATCAGAAAGAAATGATGGTTTATTTCACTTGTGTTTTGGGTTTTTTTCCCCTTCAGGAAGCAGAGGCGAAAACGAAGAACATGGAAATGGAGATCTGCAAACTGCAGAAGAAACTGGAAGATAGAAACTGTCAGCTTGAAGCTGCAGCATCTGCCGCTGAAAAGGTTCCTCTCACAAACAAAGGCTTCTACTGTCTATGTGATTCTGATTCAATCCATGAGATTAAGCTTTCCAATTTGTGAATTAACATTTCACTTGTAGAAAGATTCAACCTTGATGTGTGTTCATTAGAGGGTCATTTGGTTAAATCGTTGATAAAAGATTACATGTTCTGTTACTGGAAAGTATCATTATGCTCTGTTTTCTGTTTCTCTCTTTTCAGTGTTCATCTCTTGCCTATTGTTCGAAACATATGGGAGTTACGACCCATTCAAAAAGTTCTTTCAATGGTTCGAAAGTTCTTGCTGGATGAGCACACTAGTGAATCTACGGTGCTATGGTCTCTAAATCAATAGAAAAGTTTGGATCTTGAAATGTACGAACATGATCTAGCTGTTAAGTGACAGAAAATATGAAATGGGTCGATGCCGTTGTTCTAGTAGAGCTGTTGAGTTTCATGGATTTGTGTTTCTGATCATATGTCTTATTATGTGAAACAGTACCTTAAAGAGTTCGATGATCTGAGATCGCAGCTCGCCATCACTAAACGAACTGCGGAAACAAGTGCCGCATCTGCTCAATCTGCACAGATTCAGTGCTCAGCGTTTCTCAAACAACTCGACGAGAAATTGCTGTCTATTAGTGAACACGAAAATCGCGTGACCCAGCTCGGGCATCAGCTCGATAATCTGAAGAGAGATCTGAAAGCTAGAGAATGCTACCATAAACAGCTGAGTGAAGAGGTTGTGAGAATAGAGAGGGAGTTAACACGGGCTGTTGCAAAGGGCGGGATGGGCAAAGCCTGCGAGCTCCGGAAGCTTCTGGAAGAGGTGTCGCCGAAGAACTTTGAGAGGATCGACAAGATTTTGGCAGTGAAAGATGAAGAGATGGCGAAACTGAAAGATGAGATAAGGTTGATATCTGCTCATTGGAAGATCAAGACCAAGGAACTTGAAGCACAGGTGCATATCCATCTATTTGTTCCTGTTCTTCTCAATGTCCGAATGTTTTTTACAATGACTGATCTACTGAAAATGTTCGGACAAAACAAAAACAGTTGGAGAAACAGAGAAGAGGGGGTCAGGAGTTGAAGAAGAAGGTGCTGAAACTGGAGTTTTGTCTGCAGGAAGCTCGAAGTCAGACAAGGAAACTGCAGAGAGTAAGTTCATCCCTTTTTCTTTTTCTTTTTCCCTCTCAAACTAATTTTATTTTCCTAGGAATCTAACTCTTCTGCAATCCAAAAAACGATTTTTTGAGCCAAGCCCTCTTTCCAAGATTCAACATTTTCATGATCCGAGATATTACCCATTCCAAATTCCAGTTCCTGGGTTCTCTGGTGTTTTCTCAGATGATCACTGCCATGTTTCTAGGCCTTTCTCTTCGTCCAAATCTGCAAATAAAGAAGAATAAAAACATAATGTCTTCTTGCATCATCAAAGGAGAAACTGCTTCGCTTTCTTGGCTGTTCGCTGACAGTATTGTTGTAATACGATGGAATGGAGCACAGATGGGGGAGCGAAGGGACAAAGCGATCGAAGAACTGAGGGAACAGCTGTCGGAGAAACGACGCGACGAATCGGAGCAGTTGTCGGAGAGACCCAACTTCTGGGAAGCCTCGGGGTTCAAGGTCGTTGTTTCCATGTCCATGTTGATACTTGTCATCCTCTCCAAAAGATGGATTTTCTTCTTTTGTAAATGTAGTTGCAGATCAGAGTTTTTTCTCTTTAGGGCGTAAAGGATAAAACTGACTTCGAATTTAAATAAAAGCGATATAAAAATTGTTGGATGTAATTTTTTGGGAAAATTGAATGCACGAATCTATTAAAAAAATTCTAGATAAATACAGTGTTTGAAATTTGCAAATAAATACAGAAATTCTTTATGACTCTTATAGTAATCCTTATTTTTTTAATAATAAAATTAAATTATGAATTTTTGAAACGGGCTCTTCAAAAAATTTAATAAAATTAAACTATAATCAACATGCGATTTTTTTTATGGTGAAAAACCTAAATTACTGGCCCAAATGTAGCCCAAGTAGTCCGGCCCATTATAGGATGCCGCCGCTTTCGTCGCTCTATTTATAGCAGGTCGTTCCATCGAGATTCATTTCCCCAGTTCGTGCTCTCTGCCCCAAAATGGCCAAGAAATTGGTTCCACTGCTAAACCCTAAATCTCTTCTGCTCTGATACGTTGTGCAATTCCACCGATTTCGAGGCTTGTGCCATTGATTCCCTGACGAATTCACCTTACAGCTTCGGGGAAGAAAAGTAAAATGTCTAAGGACCAAGAAATCGCCATTAACGAAGCCGTTCGCAAGCTTCAGCTCGCTCTGCTCGATGGAATCACAGACCAGAAACAGCTCTTCGCGGCGGGCTCGTTGATGTCTCGTTCGGATTACGAGGATGTCGTTACGGAGCGCACAATCGCTAAGCTCTGTGGTTACCCTCTCTGCGGAAGTTCTCTCCCTTCCGAACCTTCTAGAAGGGGAAGATACCGAATCTCTCTCAAGGAACACAAGGTGTATGATATGCAGGAGGCTTGCAAGTTCTGTTCCTCTGATTGTCTTATCAGTAGTCGGGCGTTTTCGGGGACTCTAGCAGAGGCTCGGTGTTCGGTTTTCGAATCGGTGAAGCTGAACGAGATTTTGGGTTTGTTTGAAGATTCAGAAGCGTTGGAGTCCGTGGATGTGAAGGAAGATTTAGGATTGTCAAAGCTGACGATCCATGAGAATGCGGAGTTGAAAGTTGGAGACATGTCTTTGGAGGACTGGATGGGTCCTTCCAATGCCATTGAAGGTTATGTTCCGTTAAATAAGAGCAATAACAAATCCAGAAATCGCAAACAAGGTAAATGTTATCGAGTATGACATTTTATGTTTAATTATGCGAATTAGATGAACCTGGAAAGATTTGGTAGCTTGTAATCAAATGATTACAGGAACTGTCCTTGGAGTTGGCATAATCTTCAGTCACGAAATGAAAGAACAGCTTTGACCGATAAAACAACTAAAATCAGAAACGATGGGCTTGCTTTATGGGTTAGCCTTGTTGTTACTCTGGTCTCTGTTTCTATTGCTTATACTTGGTGAGCTATTTCAGATTCAGGGGCCACTCAGAACAAGCAGAGCAAAGATGAGGTTTCGCTATTTAGCGAGATGGATTTCACGAGCACTGTTATTACCAGTGATGAATATAGTGTTTCAAAGCTGCCGCCACAAACAGACAAAGCTTCTTCTGCTGGCAAATCCGAGGAACTCAAAGGAAAAAGAGTTATCAAAGATCCGAGTCAAAGTTCAGTCTCTCCCAAGAAAAAGGATTCAAGTAAGCAATAGCATTAAGTGAGCCGTGAAAGGGTTTTAGAATTCTCTTTCGAAATAGTTTCTTAAGAATGGTGGCTACGATTCCTGTTCTCGCGAAAGTTGGCCTAGAATGATATTCTTTTAGATGGCTGTTAGATCATCATAGTTTCTGCGTTTTACTTTAGCAACTAGCAAGCGATAAAACCTGGTAGGTGTCAAATGTCTGTGGTCTCCAATAACTTGACTGGTTTTTAATTTTATCATGCAGGTTATAGTGGTAAGAGTAATAAACCAAAGACCAACAAGAATATTGGGTTTAGTGAGATGGATTTTGTGAGCGAAATTATCACTAGCAATGAATATAGTGTTTCTAAACCTCTGCCTCATTCTATAGAAGTTCCTCTAGATAGCCAAGCAAGAGAGGCCAAGGGGCAAAAATATCTGGAAACCATGGAACAGCAAGTTTCTCTAACAGGATCATCATCTGCTTTTCGAGAAAAGGGTTTGAGTGAGAAGCCAAAAGAATCTGAAAGAAAGTTTAAATTTGTTGAGAACGTTCCTGATTCCTGTCAGGATGGTGCTATTATACGCACAGGTGAATCCTCAGCTCAGAATATATCTTCTTCGAGTGAAACATCACTTAAACCATCCCTTAAACCTTCTGGCTCAAAGAAACTTAATCGCTCAGTTACCTGGGCTGATGAGAATGCTGCTAGTGATGGCCATGGCAATCTCTGTGAGTTTCGGGACATTGAAGGTAGAAATGAAGGTGTTGATGCCTTCTCTTGTACAGACAGAGATGATGATGATGATAAAGTATCACGCCTTGCCTCAGCAGAAGCTCTTGCTAGGGCTTTGAGCCAGGCTGCAGAGGCTGTTGCTTCAGGAGATTCAGATGCCAGTGATGCCAGTAGGTCCTACATGTCGTACTTGCATTACAGCCTTTTGAGGTCTGGTATGATTTTACTCATTAAATTACTGACTGTTTGTATTTCTACATGGGTTTATACAGTTTCTAAAGCTGGAATAGTTCTATTGCCAAACCCACCCCAAGTTGATGGAGAGATATACAAAGTGGATGATTCAGAGGAAGAAGAAACACCTGAATCAGAGCCGACTCTTCTGAAGTGGCCTAATAAACCTGGGATTTTGGATTCTGATCTGTTTGATCCTGATCAATCATGGTTCGATGGACCCCCTGAGGCCTTCAGCCTGACAGTAAGTCTCTTATAAGCTTTTCTGCCGTTCCCCTTCAAATGTGAGTGGTTAGAACTACGTGGAACTGATGCATGCACTTTTTTTTTATTATCAGTTATCAGCTTTTGCAATGATGTGGAACGCAATCTTTGGATGGGTATCGTCCTCTTCTCTGGCATATATATATGGGAAGGAGGAAAATGAACACGAGGAATTTGTATGCGTTAACGGGAGAGAATACCCACGGAAGATCATCCTGAGCGACGGTCGTTCCTCAGAGATCAAGGAGACAATTGCTGGTTGTCTTGCGAGATCTTTACCTGGGCTTACTACCGATCTCAGACTGCCAATACCGATATCTGAGCTGGAAAAAGGACTGGTAAAACTCACACTCTCTATCATTGCCAGAGTTCAAGAGAGTAGACATAATAATATAAGGTTGTCTTACTTAAAAGCAATTGATTGAATTGATTGAATTGGAACAGGGGAGCTTGTTGGAGACAATGACATTCACAGAGGCGATTCCGGCCTTGAGGATGAAGCAATGGCAAGTGATTGTTCTTCTGTTCATGGATGCCCTCTCTGTTTCACGTCTCCCTCTGCTTACCCACTACATATCCAACACAAGCAAGGTCAGTGAGTTGGATCAAAATTTTATTTTTTTTTGTGTTTATAAGGAACAAATAAAAGATATGGGGATGTTATATTATTAATAGTTACAAGTGGAACAGGTGTTGGAGGGTGCAGGAATAGGAACAGAAGAGTACGAGGTAATGAAGGATCTTCTGATGCCCCTCGGCCGCGTTCCTCAGTTTTCCTCACGAAGCGGTGCATAACATAATACTTACTCTAAGGATACATCATCAATTCCGTTCCCTTTTGTTTGTAAAAAAAATTGAATTTCATAATGAACCTGAACAACCAAAGAGGAGATTAGGGTTTAAAAAAAGAGGAATGGGATTGCTTGGAAATTGGTGGCACTAAATGATCAGGAGGGAGGAGATGGGAGTTTTGCTGGATCTTCCTCAGCCACAGGGGCATCGTCATTCTTCACTTCAAACCATGCATATTTTACCCTCGATTCTCAAAAACACCCTTTTGGTGTAATATCAACTCAGTTTATCTCGTATGTATGTATGTATATATGAAATTCTAAGTTATTATTGAGATGGTATAAAAAAAACCAAAAAAAAGGAGTTTTAAGTATTTTAAAAAACCTGTCAAGCCACATGTTTGATTAATGGATATATATATATATGGATTGATGGAGGGGTTACTTGTTGCGGCCGAAAGCTTTGCGAGTATGGCCGACGCGCCAATGGTTCGCGTGGATATTATTTGAGGGTTTAAGTTTGGGAAAATGGTAAAAAATAGTATATCAATTTTTAATATGACAAAATCTTCCATTCGATTTCAAATTTTTTCAATTTCCATCACGAATTGTTTTGAAAAATTTTAATTATCACAAAAAAGAACTGAAATTATCCCATCAGCGTTTGTCAGTTAATGTGTCACCCTTCATCGAAAAATATACCAACTCAAGATGACACATAATCTGTCATATCAACAATTCGGTTACTGAAATCGGTTGATTTAGTAAAACCGGTTAAATGAAAACCGATTTTTTTTAATAAAAAAATAGGATTTAGGGTTTCGAATTCGAAAAAACTCGCATTAAGAACCTTTGTTAGAACAATTGGGTTGTTCTTGAAATTTATCGAAAACAGATAGTGGCACTGCCCTAGGAATCGCCTTTCCTTTGTCGGCTCCTCATACTCGACGAAATCAGAGAACAATCATTCCTCCGCCGCGGTGCTCTGACCACTGCCGAATACCGATTATGATTTTTCCACCGACGTCGACGTCGAAGCTAGGACAAGAACCAGAGCCGTCTCCACCGCCACCTCCGAAGGGATTGTGCCGCCGTCGAGGATGCCGTAGAACTCTTTGTCGAAAAACCCAATAAGCTTCATCTCCCTCCTTCTCAACAAAATAAGAGAATAAACCTTCCTCCGCCGCGCAGTGCTCCGACCACCGTCAAATACCGGTTTCGATCTCTCTATCGACATCGACGCCGAAACTAGGGAAA